AGTGCTTCTCTAGCATGTATAAAGCCCAGGCTCAATCTCCAGGCCCACATAAGCTAGATATAGGGACCTTTGCCTATAACCTCAGGCATGGGGATGAAATTAGTATTTTTATTATTAATAATAATGGTGACAAGAACTATAAGCAGGCATGGTAATGCATGCCTTTAATCCCAGCACTTGGGAAACAGAGATAGGCTGATCTTTGTGAGTGTGAGGGCAGTTATCCAAAGAAACTTTCCTTGAAAAAGAAACATCATCACCATCATCATCATCATAATAATAATAATTGGCATAGAAACTTATTCAGTAAAATGATAGAATAAATTTTTCAAAAGTTAGAGTAAGATATAGACATTCAAGTATAGGAGACATTTCAAATCATGAATAGATACAACCAAAAAAGAACTCTCTATGTCATAGTTAAAATGCCAAGACTACAAAACAAAGAAATAGTATGAAAAGCTTCAAGATAATGCCAGCTCACAAAGGCAAGCCCATCAGAACGCTACCAGATCCCTCAGCAGAAATTCTAAAAATCAGAAAAGAGTGAGTGGCTATAGCTCAAGTCCTGAGTGTGAGCACTATCCAGACAAGTTATCTTTTTAATAAATATAGGCATAAAGACTTTCTAATAAAGTCACAAACTAAAGCAATCATGACCAATGGGCTGCTAAGAAGAATGAATATTCACAGCTGTTGGAAGGAACATTCTCCACATACCTCTTACATCCTTTTGGTGGGTGGTGCAGTTCAATTATGTGGTTTCTTTATTGACTTTTTTGCCCACAAAATCTATCTACTGGTGGCATTAGTGTGTTGAAGCCACTTCCATTATTGAATCTTGGATTATTTGTCCCTTAGGTCCAATAATATTCACTTTATGAAACTTGATAAACATTTGGTGTTCCAATGTTCAGGGGGAAATATTTGCTTTATCTTCTTGAAGGAGTTCTCCATTTACTAATATGTAGTTGTGTTCTTTAACTCTTCTGGCTGCGTTTTCCCTGAATTCTATTTTTGCAGCCTTGAGTACAGTTGCTTCTGCTTATTTCGGACTCTTAATTGCACTGCATATAATTTTCCACCCTTTCGCATTCAGTCTTTGCGATCTTTGCCAGTGAGAATGAAATCCACCCCCCATTCCCTCCCTTCTGCTTCCTCTCCTATCCTCCCCCTACCGTTCTTCCTCCCAGTTTTGTGTGCTTTTGTAATACCCACTGAATCCGTTTAATGTTGCCTGTGCGGACATGGTGTAGAACAATCCCTAGAGCTTGGGTAGTCCCTCAGAGCCTGCGTCGCTGAAGAAAACTGACTCTCCTTTCCCCAGAAGCAATCAACTGTTCCTGAGCTACAGATGAACTTCATGGGCCCCTCCCCCACCTATGATGGGATTTTGTGCAGATCTTGTTGTGACAGACTTTTCCTGGGAAGATGCAACACAGATGTCTGCTTACTTGAGAAAAGGAGCCCATGATAGACCGAAGTCCAGCTTGATAAACCAACAGATTTTATTGGAATTACTTACAGGAATACGGAGGAATGGTTACTTAGAGGAATGGAAATTACTCAAAGACAGCTTCATCACCAAGGCCCATTTTACAGGTGTGAATGACAGCTCACAAAAGCTGGAAACACGGAGCACACTGTACAGCCTGCAACAGCTCAGCAGGCTGGAGACTCCTTTCCAGGCAGCACAGTTGGTCTGAGCCTCTTCCACATACTGACCAAAGCAGTTTAGCCGCTCTCTGATGCTTTCCCGTGGCTCTGCTGGTCTACACTTCTAGGCTTCCCGGCTTGTCTAAGAGTCCTCTTAACAGTTTCGTTTGTCCGAGTCGCTCAGCAGTCTTTACTTTGCTCATACTCTTGGGAAAGGAGGGGCCTAGTAAATCTGGTCAGTTTCAGGGATTTCCTGAAGCTATTTTGAGTTCTTCATTTCCTGTCTTAATGAGCTTGCTTGCAGGATAGAATGTTTTAACCCAAGGAAAAACGCTGCTACCAACAGCCGCTTCCCAAACCATGCTAAATACTCAATTCTGAGGCAATATTGACCTTCAATGTCAATAGTATGGTTGTTTTAAATGTCAGTTTGCCACAAATTAGAATCACCTGAGTAGGAGAGTTGCCTCAAGAACTGTCCTGATAGCCGTGATTGATACAGGAAGGCCCACTTCTATTTTGGGAGCCACATTCTGGCCCAGATTAAACGGGTGGGGCAGAAGAAGAGCATCTTGCTTTTCACTTGCTTGATCTTCCTCTTGGCACAAGTTGATTTGCCCTGTTGCTGCTACTGCTGATTCCTTCACTGACAGCAGAACCAGCATCATCCAAACTGTTATCATGACATAGGAACCAGCAGCTCTCCAGGAACCTTTTGAGTTTCCAGGACCAAACTGGGACTGCTAAGGCACCCTACCTTGTAGACTAACTACCAGTTTACACACACACACACACACACACACACACACACACACACACACACACAGAATGAGAAACAGCTATTGTGAAACTACTTTGACTGTTGAGGCATCCAGCTTTCTTAGCTTTATTTTACATGTAAGAGTTTCTTTTCTTCATGTGTATGTATGCACAACATGTGTGCCTGGTTCCCAGGGAGGTCAGTTGTGAGCATTTGATTCCCTAGAACTGGAGTTACTGTTGTGAAGCACTATGTAGGTGCTGAGGATCGAACCCAGGTCCTCTGCAGGCGCAACAAGTGCTCTTAACCATTGGGCCAGCTCTTCAGTGCCAAAACAATGAGATACTTCATACCCACTCACTGGGCAAAGATTCAGAATTTGGCCATGCTACCAGGACAAGGACCAATTGTATATGTGTGGTCTAATGTGGTCACTACTACAAATGTGGTCACTTTGAGAAAAGACTCTGGCATTATTTTCTTGGCAAAATTTCAGACAAAGTTCAACTCAGATTGGATCCAAGAGCAATATTCAGACAGCAAACAGGATCTTTGCTCTGGAATGCCAGCTAGTGCTGTCCCCAGCAGTAACAGCCTGGAACAACCCGAACATATGATGGTCATACCTCGGACAGCACAGTAGGTAAAGTGAAGTGATTGGCCCTCACAAAAGGACAGGAATCTTGGTAAGGAAAAGCAGGAACTGGAAGACAACACAGAGTAACGCCCACTGGCACTCAAGCAAAGTCGTGTGCCGTCAACAGGTCAGCTATGCTAAGCAGGGAACTCCCCTCTGAGGGGAGGGGGTCTGGGGCTGGGAGCTTGGGTCACCTTGTACTTTTCTCCTCTTGTGTTGAGTGTTCTTCCTACCGCTTCATAAAATGAACGAGTGGGTTAAACACAATGAAAGGGGCGCTCTGAAATCTGACGGGAAAGGGTCTTGATTCTCAGGCTTCTCTGGGGTAGACTACCTGTGAGAAGCCTGGTGCTGAGGAGAAGGAAGGCTTCCCAGCTGAGCACAGTCCCCCTTGGGCCCACAGGAATCTCCACAGAACCCAACAAATTGTCCTGAGAACAATTACAGTCCTCAGGACTGCAGAGAACAAGGCCACTGAGGAGTGTATAACGACCAAGGAGGCCCAAAGCGGCAGGTCCTGTGAGAAGAAGAGAACTTCTTCCACACCTGCAGCAAGAGACACGCAGAGACGCTGCAGGGACCCTGCCTGGCTTGATGACAACTTAAGACAAAGGGCTCAGGGAAAACAACACCTTCCAGGAGCCCCTCAACTGCTGCCACAGCCTGGCCAGTACATGCTACCAGATCTGGGAACTGGAAAGGCCCCAGCCCAGAGGCAGCGGTGGCACCACCCTGTGCCAGGCAGCCTGGCTTAGACGGTACTCAGGTACCCCGTCACCAGCATGTGTAGAATCAGGCTGACAGGTTTCCACCATCAGCTTGACAGCAGTACCCCTTCTAGTTTGGCTGACCCATTCCCTTTCCGAGGCCTGAACGGAGACTGGAGACCGACCTTGGGCTCCTCCCCTACTCAGCTCATCCCACCAATCAGGAGTCCCACAGACCTTGAGCCGAGGAGCCTCCCTCAGACTCCAGGCTCTAGTGCAGACTAACAGCTTCGGCTCTCACCAGGGACCACCGCCTGGTGCCAGGGAGTTCACCTCACCAGAACAGCCAAGTGCCCAACCCGAGAGGTAAGAACCAACTGTGGCGAGCGCTGCTTGTGGAGTGTGCCTAGGACTGTGCTCGGCCACCAACCTCCGCCACCTGTCCAGAACCACACAGCCTGGTGCCGGATGTGACCGAAGGACCTGGGCTGCACCCCTTCCAAGATGGACCAAGGAAACCACTACAAGGGGACCCCAGCCTGGCTTCTGCTCCAGGTCACCCCATCTGCTCTCAGACACCTAGCTCAAGAGCTATCCCCACAAATTCCCAAACTGCTTATTTCCCTTGAAGATTGGTGACGGCACCTTCCGCTCAGTCCCCAACAGTAAGTTTGCTCCTTGGGGGAAAAAAAATAAATTCTGGCTAAGCAGAGTCTGGGCCGTGTTAGAGCATCAAATGTGGGGATGAAGTCAGACGGACTCACACACCTGTAGCCCCAGTACTCAGGAGGATGGTGCAGGAAGATACTGAGTTTGCTGTCGGCCTGGGCTACACAGACTGTCTAGGGGAGGGGAGAAGAAAGGAAGGGAGACACCATTACAAAGCAGGGTGAGCCATCTCCTCTGCAACCCTCTGCTCTCTTCTCCTCTCCATTTGGTGGTCCTGTCACTAGGGGAGCTGTAGCCTTTCAGTCTGAAACAGCATCAACTCGCCAAGGTACCTGAGTCTTTAGACAAAATCCAGGCCCTGTCACCTCTGAGCAGCATTTAAGGCAAAGTAAGCTTTCTTGGAACTGTATGTGTGCATGTTACATGGTATAAGCATTTGTGTACATGCGTGCATGTGTATGCATGCACATACCTAAAGGGAGTGTGTGTGCACACCTGGAAAGTGTGTACTTGTGTATCAGGTCAAGGAGGGCAGCACAAATTTGCAAAAATGTAAGAGGGGTGTTCCTGCTCACACTGATGTTCACGGACCCCAGGCCATCGCTCAGCTGTCAGTTCTTGGTAAACATGAAAGTGAGCTCCACGCTGAATACGACAGGTAAGTACCGCAGCAGATCCTGAACGTACGCAGTGAGAGTCCTTTCTACTTGTCTGACCTCTCCCTGCCAACAAGGCTGATCAGCCCTAGGAGCCTCCACAGAGCCGTCCCTTGGTCCTGGGACAGTGTGGCAGCCCTTGCCTTTGAGACCCTAGCAGGGGTTGCAGAGCCTCCAACAGCTTTGACCAATGGAACAGTGGCCGGGGCCATCACACAGAGCACTTGAGTCCCCGCTGTTCCAAGGTGCTCAGAAGTGGCCTCCCGGCCAGAAAGGACCATGAGCAACCGCAGCAACACGTTGGTGACAGAGTTCATTCTTCTGGGTTTCCCAGAACTGTGCCACCTACAAGGGCTGCTCTTTGGGTTGTTCCTGACCATCTATGTGGTGACTGTCCTAGAGAACGTGGTCATTGTGGGCACCATCAGTGCTAGCCGGCAGCTGCACATCCCCATGTACTTCTTCCTGGCCAATCTGTCTGTGCTGGAAACCCTCTACACCACAGTCACAGTGCCCAAGCTGCTGGCTGGCCTCCTGGCAGGGGCAAAAGCCATCTCCTTCTCAGGGTGCCTCACCCAGCTGTTCCTTTTTCTCTCACTGGGCTCCTCTGAATGCTTCTTACTGACTACCATGGCCTGTGACCGGTACGTGGCCATCTGCCGCCCGCTGCACTACCCGGTCATTATGGATTCGAGGCTGTGTCTGCATCTGGCCATCAGTGCCTGGCTTGGGGGCTTCCTGGCCTCCTTTGTGTCCACAGCTCTCATCTCCCGCCTCAGGTTCTGTGGCCCCAATGCCCTCAACCACTTCTTCTGCGATGTCTCACCTCTGCTGCAACTGTCCTGCTCAGACACTGCTGCCATCGAAATGCTGGACTTTGTGGCAGCCCTGGCTGTCCTCGCAACCTCTCTGACAGTGACTTCCATCTCCTACGCCCGCATCCTTGCCACTGTGCTGAGGATTCCAGGAGGGGCGGGCCGCAGGAAGGCTTTCTCCACGTGTGCCTCCCACTTGGTGGTGGTCTTAATCTTCTACACCACCACCACCTTCATGTATGCCCGGCCTCACGCCATAAGCTCCTTCGACCTCAACAAGCTGGTATCAGTGATCTACTCGGTAGTGACTCCCCTGCTGAACCCTATAATCTACTGCCTGAGGAACCGTGACATCAGGGAAGCACTTACCAAGCTCCTCCAGACCCCCAGGTTCTCCTGAATGCCAGTTGCTGGGTCCTGCTGTGCTCTTCCTAGTGAAGACAAGTCCGTCCTTTCCCACAGTTCAGAGTACCCAAGGACACAATGTGACCATCATCCAGCAACAAACAATAAAAAGAGGTAACCAAGACCTACAGACTCGTCTAGAAAACTCAGCCCTGAACCATGGACAGCTGTTCTTGTTAGCAGCCCAGGCAAGTCCTTTGTTCTGAAAAATCTGTGCAGAACCCAAAGGAAGCTCCCTGACTGCCGTTACTTCCCTGATCACCTAGGATCTGGACTTTATGTCCTTTCCTTGACCAGCCTTGAAGACCCCACTTCTGAAGCCCTGGGATTGGTCTTCATCACATGAGGTCCCAGGTCCTGGTCAGGTGGAAGGGTTCCAGCAAGTCCAGACAGCATCACTGAACGTGCCGATGCTCCCTTTTCTCAGAAACAAGGATGGCGTATTACATCTTTTTGCACAAAGCTCGGTATGTCTGGTGGGTAGATGGCACGCGTGTGCCTGCCTTTTCTTTCTTTTGTGGGGCATGAGGCGGACACAGTAATGCAAGCCTCTCCCTTCCTGGCGGCTGTCGTTGTTAGCCAGGCCAAGTTCTTTCTTGGCTTCGTGGCTGTCCTTTTCCCTCATGACAGCCACCTAGCCTGATGAGCTTCATGTGTATCTTTGGGGGAATTTAACACATCCTTCAAGTCTGTGTGAATGTTCTGTGTTGCAGTTGTGGCCGTGTCTTACTGTTTTACCTTGTACTTCTGAAGTCACTACAAGGTGCATTCATATTTAGGACTGTGTTGTCAGCTTCACAAATGTAACCCTTCTTGAGGGAGCACCTCTCTGTCTCCGGCACATCTGTCTGCCTCAACACTTAAAGCTTGATTTCTGCTTTGATTTAATACATTTGCATCATCTTCTTTTTGGAATCTATGTGAGGCACACTTTCAGTGCTGATTTTAGTCTACTCTCTGCTCCTGACCACCCTTCTGCCTGGGATCCAGGCAGAGACTGCACAGACCATGCTTCTGCCACAACTGCTCTCTATTGAGAACCCCGCTATCAACCATGTTTATACTTTATAGTTAACTTGTTCTATAATCGTTGAGCTTTTCTTGTTTGATTTGCAACTGTGTTTGGTGTGTATCTCTCTTTGTGTTTGCACCTTTGGGTCTGTAATGCTTCCAGAACTCATGGCTTCCATTGCCATCAGTTTTTTTTAAAAAACATCAGGTATAACTTCCTTAAATGCTGCATCTGCTTTATTCTCCTCTTGTTTGCTCCAAGACTGCATGTGTGTCAGATTTTCTTACTATAGCCCCTCTGTCTCCTCACACTCTGAGCTATATACTCCCTTTTAAGGACATTTTTCTTCCAGTCTTCCGGGTTCCCAAGTCTCTCTCCAACTATGTCTAATATTCTGAGTGCTTGGTTTCATTTTGTTCATTCTAGAATTTTCATTTTATTCTTTGTGTGGGGAAAAAAAACTCATTTTCACAGTCATCAATCATCACAAAGCACATTGGGACCAAATGTGCCGGGAAGTGTCCCCATTTACCAATCAAGCATTTCTGCAGCTAATACAAGGTAGGGTCTTCTGATTCAGCTCAACTCTGACACTGACTGCTTAGAAGTAGCTCAATTCCCACAGATCTTACTGTATACCCAGACAGTCTGGCCTAATTCAGAAGCCAGCTCCGAGCCCAAGGAGTTCACCTTTATTTCTCACAAAACAGCTATCAATGGAGCTTTGCATAATCCCTTACGTGGGATCTTCTAATTTGCTAGAGGAGCTCACTAAACTCTGGGGATCATTTGCTTACGTGTGCCAGCTTGTTAAGAGAACCACAGCCGGGCAGTGGTGGTGCAGGCCTTTAATCCCAGCACTCGGGAGGCAGAGACAGGCGGATCTCTGTGAGTTCGAGGCCAGCCTGGTCTACAAGAGCTAGTTCCAGGACAGGAACCAAAAAAGTTACAAAGAAACCCTGTCTTGAAAATCAAAAAATAAATAAATAAACAAAAAATAAAAAAATAAGAAAACCACACCAGACCTGATGAGGGTGCTTAGTAAGGCGCTTGCCTTGTGAACATAAACACATAAATTTAATCTCCAAAACCTACACTGAAAAGACAGGGCCAGGCATGATACTGCATGCTTGTAGTCTTGCTTCTGGGGCTCACTAGTCAGCCAGCTCAGCCTATTTGGCAAGCTCCGGGACAGTGAGAGACCCTGTCCCAAAAACACAAGAACAAAAGCCTGAGGTTTTTCTGGCCTCCACATGCAGCCACACACATGTGCACTTGCATATGTATGTGTACCTGCACACTCATGAACACACACACAGAGACAGCATAAAAGAAGAATCACAAGGGATACAGATGAAGAGACACAGTGGGCAAGGAGTCCATGAGTATGGAACTGGTCTATCTGTCCATGAATGGTGCCCTAGGTCTCCTGAACTGTCTGTCTGTCTGTCCATGAGTGGTGGCCTGGGTCTCCTGCACTAGTTTGTCTGTCCCTTACTCAGATTGAACTGCTCCTTTCTACTGCCATATGCAGATCCCTAATACCTTTAAGATTTATTTACTTTGGTTCCGGAAGACCCATCAGAGGGAACCTTCATCTGACAAAGGATGGAGATAGAGAGTCCCACATTGGAGCACCGGAACGAGCTCCCAAGGTCCAAATGAGGAGCAGAAGGAGGGAGAACATGAGCAAGGAAGTCATGACCTCGAGGGGTGCACCCACCCACTGAGACAGTGGGGCTGATCTAACGGGAGATAACCAAGGCCAGCTGGACTGGGACTGAAAAAGCATGGGATAAAACCAGACTCTCTGAACATGGAGGACAATGAGGGCTGCTGAGAAGCCAAGGACAATGGCACTGGGTTTTGGTCCTACTGCATGTACTGGCTTTGTGGGAGACTAGCCTATTTGGATGCTCACCTTCCTAGACCTGGATGGAGGGGGGAGGACCTTGGACTTCCCACAGGGCAGGGAACCCTGACTGCTCTTCGGACTGGAGATGAAGGGGGAGGGGAGTGGGGGTGGGGAGTGCGGGGAGAGGGAGGGAAAAGGGAAGCGGGGAGGAGGCGGAAATTTTTAATAAAAAAAAGAAAAAAGATTTATTTACTTTTATTTTATGTGCATGAATGTTTTGCCTGTGTGTATTAATACCTTTAAAATCTATTTACTTTTATTTTATGTGTATGAGTGTTTTGCCTGCATGTGTTAATATGCACCATGTGAGTGCTTGGTGCCCATAGAGGCCAGAAGAGGGCAATAGATCCCCTGGAACTGGGGATAGAGATGGTTGTTGGGTGCTGGGAAATGAAGCAAGGTCCTCTGCAAGAGCATCAAATGCTGGTAACTGCTGAGCCAGCCCTCCAACCCAAGCTTTAGTATCTTGCATGAGCCCCTCTTCCTTGGTCTTCTAGAAGTTATCTTGGGTGTTCCAGGTCTTTCCTTGTCATCTTCAGAATCTCTTGGATTCTTTATTAACTTGCTAAGCACAAATTTTTAAAATGCGATAGACAAAGTGATTTAAACAACAGAAATTATTTTCCATTTTATCTTAATAACTGGGGTCTTCTGAGGCCCCTTTTCTTGCAATAAGAATGCCATATCTCCCATGCCCTTACACAGTGGTTCCCCTGCCTCTGCACAATGACCTAATATCCTTGGATTGTGCACCTGTTACTTCTGTAAAGATCTTGTTATAAAATACAGCCACATTCTGAGGTGCTTGGAATTAGGATTCAACATACAAATGGGACAACTCAACTTCTAACAAGTACCTCTAAAGACATCCTGGAGAGGGCTGACAAGTGCTGAACAGATATGACTCTTGTGGCGGCATTAAACTCCATAGGCCAGACTGGACACCTTTCATCCCAGAACCTAAGAGACAGAAGCAAGTGGATCTCTATGAATTTGAGGTTATTCTGGTCTAAATAGTAAGTTCCAGGCAAGAAATGGAATCTTCCAAGAACGTGTGAGTCAAAAATAAATGATGTTCTCAGCAGTGTCCAGAGAAGATGGACAGGCAGCACTCTGTAACTGGTGCCTCTAGGGATAGGAAAGGACAGCTGGGAAATAGTCACCCTTGGCAGGGGTCAGCAGGCAGGCGCTGGAGTTTCCGTATGGAGTTGTCTAAGAGCAATAATTTAGGCACGCATGGAAAAAGACCATCTCCATGCTGGGAATACTCCCAGAAGCAGAAGTAGGGGGATGGAGAAAGAAAGAGTCCAGCACTGATGAACACTGTCAGGACTAAGCAGAACTGCAGTCTAATTCAGATCGGGAACTACAGGGCCCAAGCAGCGTGTGCAACATGATGCAGCGGTAGGAGTCAAAGGGTTGGCATTATCCCATCTCCAAGAACTCCAAGGAAGGTTGGCCTGGACCATGGAATGTCAGCCTGGAGAGCTGGTCTAGCTACAGAGGAAAGACTACACGGTAGAGAGTCACTTTAAGTTAAAGGGAGAAGTGGCAGTTACTTATGGGAAGCGTGGAGCCTTCAATCAAGGAAGTGGCAGCAAGACTTCCCAGATGAGGCAGGAGCACTTGCATATCGTTATATAGGGAACTGAGTTGTGGGAAATCACAGGCGTTGGCGGGTAGAACCTGTTCAAAAGGCTGCATCCCCAAAGGACTTCCCTGCCCCCCAACCAGGCATTGAAGATACAGAAAACTAGGACCAGCTGGCAGAAAGTTTGCAGTCTGCCCTGTCCTAGGGAACAGGGCAGCTAAGAAAAGCTCTGGTCACTGTGCAAACACCACCAAGATAATAAAATGAAGACATAACAGGACACAGCTGCCATTCTCGCCGGGTGATATGAGCCCAAACTGCCACAGAAGAGCAGCAGGTCAGCTTAGGTCAACATCTTTCTCTGCTCTCCATATGACTGACCCCCAAAAGGACAGAATCCTGTCCTCTATTTTAAAATCAGTACATTTTCCCACTTTCCTTATGATGACTTGTTTGTGCTGTGTGTGTGTGTGCATGCATGTGTGTGCACATGTACACATATGTGCACAAAAGCCCAAGGAGGCCAGGAGAAAGTGTCAGATCTCTCAGAGCTGGAGTTAAAGGAGATAGTAAGCTACCTGATGTGGGTTCTGGGGTCTA